CAAAATAAGTATGAATTTTGTTCTCGGGGCCTTGAGAGGGTTCTGTCCCAGCATACCCATCTGAATTAAACCATCGCAAGCTGTAGGAGGTATCTGCTTTCTGAAGGAGAGCAGTTCAGTTCATGGAGGGTTAATTATGCAAGAGACTTGGCATCTTAAGAAAAAAGGGTGAGCCCATGCTGGATTGTAGCCCCCTGGATTGTAAGGATCAATGGGAAGGGAATAAAGGCATGTGTGGCACTGTGGGTTAATGTGCTGGACTACAAAATCAGTTTGAACCTCAAGGCTGGTAGTTCCAGCTTACTAGCTGCTCTTTGGAAACCCTGTAAAGGGTCGCTATGGGTTGGAAACAATTAGGAGTCCCGATGTGGTGCTATGGGTTAATGCACTGGACTGCAAAGTCTGTTTGAACCTTAAGGTCAGCAGTTCAAGTTCACCATCTGCTCCTTGGAAACCCTATACAGGATTGTTATGGGTCTTTTGACATGACGGCACTTAACAACAACATTCTACAAATAAGGTGCCCAGATTGTGTAGTGGATTTTGAATTTTGAATCTACCAGTTGCTCTGCAGGAGAAAGATGAGGTTTTCTGCTCTTGCAAAGATTTACAACCACAGAAACCCTATACAGGGTCGCTATGAGTCAGGATCCACTCGATGGTACACAATCACCACCACCACCATTCTACAAATTACCATTGACACCCAACACTGACTTTATCTGACAACGGCAGAAATCTTTCTTACATGAAACAAGAAAGACAGAAAGAAAAAAAGCTGCTGCCTTTTTGTACACCTACAGACAGCCAGATGCCTATGGGACCAATCTGGTAGCACCAGTTTGAAAGATGGATGCTTGAATTTCAAGTATATTGTAATTATAAGATATAAAAGGCTTTCAAGAACAGGTAAAGTTTGAGTGATAACCATCTTTGTGTCAATGCTCTGAAAATCTTCTGAAATGTCTAAATAAAACCAATCTTCCAATAAGGAGTATTTCCCAGTGACCCTATTGCAGGAGGGTAAATACCATTTCAACAAACCTTGTTAAGTGAGCTGTTTCAGTTTGCTAAGGCAGACTGCTGGACTGCTCCTTGGTTGGAGTAATTATGCAACCTGCTTAACCTTTCCACCCTAGATTGGTCTATCTTTAAAATGAGTAAAATGCTACCAGCTCCTTTTAGCTAATCTCCCAAGGATGTTGTGAAACAAAGTGGAGAATGTTTTAAAAACTCTCTACAAGTGCATGTAGAGAAATCTCATCTCTTAACTACTACCTTGGTTTGTACTCAGTGCCCTGACCCTAGCGTTCAAGTCTTGATAGGAATAGACCGTATCATTATTTCAACTGTCTCTCTCCAGCGTCTTTCTAAGAGTTCAAGGTTGATGAAAGTTGGCATTGACTCCATGCCCTGGTTCTGTCCTCCAATCCCAGGATTCAGGAATGTGAGGTTTAGTGGTGGGAAACTAACAGTGGGAAACAAAAGCAAGGAGAAAAAGATCCGTGTGACCTCACTCAGCACGCGTGTAGTGAAGCCAATAGGGCCGGCGTGTAACGCCCGAGCCACGGTCCTCTATGGGATTTCTCATTTCAACGGGGCCCAAAGCACGAGATTGGCTGGGGAGCTGCCCTGATGGCGGTGGGGCTGCTGCAGGGGCAGCGCTCGGATCCCCCCCGGCTGGGCTCCGTCGATGTCCCGAGCCTGGCGACCCGTCGGGCAGCTGTCGGGCGGCGGGAGCCCGTTCGTGGGCAGGGCCGGCGCGGCTCGGGCGGCCGCTGCCCCGTCGCTGACCCTCGCGCGAAGCTGCGCGCACCGTGAGGAGACATCTTCCCGGCCGGGCCTCCCGCTCCCGCTGCGGCCCGGGGCGGCGGGGTCGGCCCGGGGTTGGAGGCGGCCCGCGCCCCCCTCCGTGGGGGGCGCCCCACTCGCCAGGGGCGGGGTCACGTCCCACCCGGGCTGCCAGGGGCACCGGCGCCGCGGAAACCTGAGCGTGGCCGAGGAGCGGGGGCTCCCCCAGCCACCTCCCCAGGCGCCTGCGGGCCGCGGGGGGCGCGCCGGCCTCCGCCGCCGCCCCCGGACCGTCGCGGAGACCACTCCCGCGCCGGTACCTGGGGACGCCCTTGTCAAGCGCCTGAGCTCCCCGGGGGAGCCGAGCCCAGGACAGACATGCTACCCCCGGTTTCGGCCCCTTCGGAGCGGCGAGGAGTGGGTGAGGCGGGGCCGGGCCGCTGCACCCAGGACCCCTGGGCCGGGGGCGGACGGGCCTCCGCGGCGGGGCGCCGGGGCCTGCCCTGGGATGGCGGGCAGGCGGGCCTCGGCCCATCGGCCGGCGTGCGAGGGGCGGGCAGCCGGTGGGAAGGCGCCTCCGCCTTGCACCCCCTTGCCCTGGGCAGGCCTGAGCGGGCAGCCCGGGTCTGGTCTGCGCGACCCGGCCACTTGACCCCGGGAGACCCTGCTCTGAGGCGGGCAACGACCGCCTTGGCCCAGGCCGCCCGGTCCTCAGGCTGTGAGACTGTGACGGGCCGATGGGGGCCTCTGGTTGCTGAGGAGGACGGGGGCGCTGCCCCCACGGCTTGGGGGAGTTTGTTGTGCTTGATGGGGGGTCGGGGGTCACCACCCTCCCTGGAGAGGTGGGGGAGGGCCGTGGCGCAGCTGGCCGGCTAGGGGCGGGGTCACAGAGGCGAAGAGTGTGTGCTCGTGCGAGGCTCGGGCGGGAGGGGGAGGGCGCGCGGAGGAGGATCCGGAGCCTGCGCGCAGGCGCGAGGAACGGGCCAGGCCGGAGCCCTGGAAGAAGGCCGGCGGGGAGCGGGAGCGGGAGCGGGGGCGGGCGGGCGGCGGGCTGGCTGACGCGAGGGAGGGCGGGGAGCCGCGTCGGCGTCGCGGGGAGCGGGCGATTCGAGGCCGACGCTTCCGCGCGTGCGCGCGCCGGCGGAGTGTCCGCGTTCGAGGGGAGTGACGCGTGCGCGTTCGCGTGCGCCCGGGAGAGCGGTAAGAAGCTGAGGGAGCTTTGGAGGGGGTGGGGAGTGGAGCGGCGAGTGGGAGGAGGGGTGGAGAGGCGGCGCCTGCGCAGTGCTCCGCGGAGGAGCTGTGTGTATGTGAGAGTCTGACGGGTTCAAAATGGCGGCTGCTGCTTCAGCGGCTCCTCCTGTGTGAGGGAAACAACACCCCTCCCAGACAGCGGCGGCGGCGGCGGCGGCTAGCATAGCACCTTCCCGGCGGCTGGGCCTGTCGCCGCTCTGTCTGTCCTGGGCAGGGGGCGCTCCGGGAGGAGGGGCAACGCCAGGGGGCCCATTCCCCGGAATCCCTCCTCTGCGACCGGGGAGTAGCCGGGGGCTCGTCCCGCAGCGCGGAGCCCGGGCTGAAGGGAGACGCGAGGGGAGCCCGGGCCCCCAGCCCGGCGCGCCGCGCCGCTCCCGCCCTCGCCGCCCCCCGGGTCCGGCGCCCGCGTTCCGGGGGGCCGGGGCGGCGCGGGGAGCCTCGGGTCAGCCGGTCTCAGCTGATCGACTGCCGCTCCCGGGCTCCGGAGGCGGCCGGGCGGCTGCTGGCGAGGGCACGGCGAGGAGGGCGCTCTCTGTGACTGGGGCTCGGGCTGCTGCCCGCTGGCCCGGGGGAGGCGGGGGCGCCCGGGCTCGGCGCCGAGGGTCGTGCTCCCCGCGCCTGCCGCCGCCGATCCCGTGCTCCCGAGCCCGAAGAGGAGCTTTGATTCAGCGACTCTTGGCTCCCTTTTCCGGGTGGCCCTGCTCCTCTGTGGATACTGGGTTGATCCCCGGAAAAACCCGAAGACGTCGTGTGGGATTTCATTTGTCCTCTCAGTTTGGGGACTCTCACTTCTCACTTGGACAAGAACTGAGCCGCGAAATCCCGGGTGAGCCTCCCCCTCCCCCCATGTGGAAGTTTGGCTCGATGGGGGATCTATCGAAAGACTCGATGGAAAGTTTCTATTGCTCTCCGCCATGGGGGGGGGGCGTGGAGCCCCTTCCCGGGGTCGGGGGGTTAGCGCGCTCAGCCGATCCCACCTCCCCATCCCGGGCCAGGGCGGGCCTCGCTCCGGGGGTATGAACCCGCCTCCCCCCCCCCCCCCCCTTGGGGACCGGACTGGTCTCGGGAGGGCTCCGCCGGGAACTGCGCTTCAAACTGTGTCATGGGGTCCCCTGCCCCCGGGACAGTTTGGAAAGGATGCTGTGAACGTGGCCGTCATGTAGTTCTCCCCCCCCCCCGCCCTCCTCCCCAAAAAAGAAACACAAAAAAACCCCAAAGCTCCAGGACCTAGGCAGGCCATTTCCAAAAAGGGAACCCCCTTTTTGGGATTTGTGGATGGACCGTCGCACAGATGGTCTCGATGGCCTGGTGGGAAAGACGTCTTTTCCTCGATGCCATAAATCGAGTCGTGTCTTAGTTTATGACTTGATACAAAAGGAGCGGATGGAATTTGGGGCCCCGAGTGGCAGCCACTCTCTTCCCGGAGTCGCGGGGTTGAACTTGGTCTTGGGGAAAGCCCAGGTCCAGGGAGGCGTGCGGCTGCCTTGAGGACGTGGGGAGCCCTTAATATTGGGGGGCCTCTTTTCACCTAGTTAGTCTGGCCTCCCTCTCGCTTACAGGGAGGGAGTTAGCACTCGGAGGCTCTGGATTCGCTCCGGGTTGTGCTTGACCTCGGCGGTGCCGGTGGTAGCTTTTTTCTGCCTAGGAGGGAGCCTTGCTCCTGCCATCCTCTGGTAGGGGAGAAACAAGTGGCCTGTCCCCGAGGAACTGAAACCTGCAGCCCGGAGGCCTAGGCCTCAGCCATTTGGGATGTGGTGGGGATTACTGTTGGCCGGGCCATGCAGCCACACACTTGCCCAAGAGCAGAAAGGCCCCCTGGAGCCCTGAAGCGGGGGAACCTCATTTCCCAGTCTTTCATTGACCCCTTCTTTTTCCGAGCACTGTAAGGATGGGTTTTCACCTCTGCTCCTCTCCTTCTGTAGTGCCGCATTCTGGTTCCTAAAGGAGGAAGAGGAGGGCAGCCCTGGAGTGGTTTCTATACAGCAATTGCAAGAGAAAAGTGAGAGATGGAACCCGAAGAAGAAAGGATTCGCTACAGCCAGAGATTGGTTAGTTATTTTCTTCTCAAACAACAACAAAAATTTCCCCCCTTTTAAAAATTGTAAAGCAGAATCATGATTTTGTTTCCATTTGTGAATAGACTGTAATGAAAGAAAACTTTTCAGGTGGCTTTAGCAGAGGAGGAAAGAAGGTGTATTCGTATTTCATTTGGTGTTTAGGCCAGTTAATTAGAGCCTTAATATTCATCCTGTTTGGAAATGGAGTTATAGGCAGTCTTTAACTTCTATAGAAACCATTGTAAATCAAAGGATTTTGTGGATTACAATGTGACAAGTCTTCTTAATTTCACAATACTGACATTGTTGTAAAAGCGATTGTAAATTTTAGGGTCAAAACTGAGGAAGGTTCTGTGTAATTTTACGATGATGTTGTTACCAGGGTTTGAGGCATTGGGCTGGAGAATAGAAGTCTGGATTATTTTAATTGATTGTTTAACATTTTGGTAGGTTTAGAGGGGCAAGGAGGAATGGTGAGGACAGGTGGAATAGTTCTGCATTTTGGGAGGCAGATATGAAATAAGTCTTGTTGAAATAGGTATTTATTCAGTAATGATTTGGAGGGAATTCACTTGTATGCATATATGAATGTATGCTAGCTCCAGACCCGCTTCCTTTCAAGGTGTTCCCTGTTGGAGTTTCAAGAATCTGCTTTTTGTTTTCTTTAGTCAAAGAGAGCTCTATTAATATTCTCAGAATTTATTTCAAAACTTTGAATTTGTGTTTGTAGAGTGAGAAATGAGGGAAAGCCACAGAATTACATGTATTGCGTGAAATTTGCTGAACTGAAAGACCTAGAAGATTGCTAGAGGGATTTTTAGTGGTTTTATTTGGCTCTGCGTTTTAGATTGAGTTTGAAGGAAAAGAAGAATGGTTCTTTAATTCTTCCATTTTCTGATGATCCCACTTGTTTTGAGAAAAGTGTTTTTTTGGTTGTTTTTTTTTTAAGGTTACTATTAAAAAGATTCGGGTGGAGTGCAATTGGCAAAAATATTCACCAGCCAGCTATTCTGGTGAACCTCATTTCTGAGACTTCTCTTGTCTCCCAATTCATGTGTTGACATTATACATCCTTGTTCTCAACTTTTAAAAGATTCATTAGTGGCAGAGCTTTGTATGATGAGGATTTAATTTTTTTTTTTTTTAACCTTTCTTGAATTAAACTTTTTGGGGGGAACAGAAAGAGAGAGGATTCTGTTAAATGCCTTTCCCAGGTATTCACTGCTAAATGGGAATGTATTTTGGTCATTTACACTTGTTGAATTGTTTAGTTATTACATAGGTATATTTAAGGCCTCCTCGGAACAGGGAACTGGTGACTTCTGTCTTGGTAAGATTTTTTTTTTTGTTGTTAATTAACAAAGATGATTGCTACCTGTTGCACACATTAAACCTTTAGCATATATTTTTCTTCTGATTAATGTGCTATTGTAACAATGTCGTGTAGGAGGGTAGCGTCATGTATTTTTCATGATCTTTCTCTCTTAGAATTTTGGGTAATAGTTTTGAAGTTTAAGGTGACTAGTAACTTGTTTTCCCTTCTGCGATTACATGGAAAAATTCCATCACAAGTGTAAATCCCTTTCATGTTCTAACTTTTGGCAGGAGCCAGTTGGCTACTTAACTGAGTGACTGTCTGTCTTCACATTTTATGTAAGTGCATCTCTGTGTTTGTGGTGTTTGTATTATAGGAGTCGCTGTTGATGAAGTTAGCTCATTTTGGAAGATTTAAGATGTACATCAAGTCAGGGTGAGGAACTTGTTTAAGTGAAAGCTCTGAGAAACTCCTCATTTTTCTGTTTCTTCAGAAGTTGCACTTTACACTAACTTTTAAAGTGTTCACTTTGTTTTTTCAAAAAAAAAAAAAAAATTAATAATAATAACACTGTATCTTTCTTTAAAGGAGGCCAGAGCATAGAACTTGTTTTAGAGTCAATGGCCATGGAACATAAAGTTTGAAAGTGAGACAAAGTTACAGATTAAAGTTAGTTTAGTGGTTAAAGTTCATGGTTGTTGTTGTTGTCAAGTGCTGTTGAGTCAGTTTCAACTCATAGCTACCCTGTATAGGGTTTCCAGTGAGCAGTTGGTGAGCTTGAACTGCCAACCTTATGGTTTAAAGTGACTTTGCAGTCCAGCGCATTAGCCCACAGCACCACACCAGGACCCAAAGTTCATGTTGTTGATGTTGTTGTTGTTGTTGTTGTTGTTGTTATGTCTGGTGGAGTAGGTTCCGACTCATAGCACCCCTGTTTAGGACTTCCGAGGCTGTAAATCTTTACGGGCGCAGAAAGCCTCATCTTTCTCCCACGGAACAGTGGTAGTTTCGAACTGCTAACCATGAGATTAGCAGCCTGATTCATACCACTACACTACCAGAGCACACTCAACGTGGTCTCCTGTAAATAAATAATTATCAAATCGAATTGAATCATCTACTGCATTTCATTGCTGTGTTACCGACTTGCTTCCACACTGTGTTGGAGAACAAAACCGAAGTGGTCATCCCTCTGTGACATGCCTTCAAGATCATCTCTTAGAGCAAATTGTGTTGTTATTAAAAGTCTTGAGTCCAAACTTGTTTTGGAATGAGAATAACTTTTTTGTATTTGCTACCATTTACAAAAAGGAGCTCTGGTAGCATAGTGATTACAAGTTGGGCTGTGAACCTTAAGGTCAGCAGTTCGGAACTACCAGCTGTTCCATGGGAGAAAGATGAGGAAGATGAGGCTTTTTGCTCCTGTAAAGATTTACAGCTTCGGAAACCCTATGCAGGGTCGCTATGAGTCGGAACTGACACACGGCACACTACCACCACCACCACATATTAAAAAAAAAAGTTATGGCCTAACTAATAAAGAACTTCGTATTTGAATTGATTTTTTTAATACTTTCTGCTCATGTAGTGATTTCAAATGTATAGGCTGAATGTGGTAAAGAAAATATGGGTATTTGTTTTTGAGAGTAAACAGCAAAACATAAACCAATTTAACTTGTTTGACTGTGTGGTGTTGTAGGATAAGCAGTGGACTGCTAACCTCAAGGTCAGTGGTTCAAGCCCACCAGTCATTCCTTAGAAATCTTTTATGTTGGGTCTCTCTGACTCGAAACTTACATGAGAACACTAACTAAACAAACACTAAGTACATGCATGGGATCCTGGTGTGGTGCTGTAGGATAAGCATTGGACTGAGAGGTCACTTTGAACCATAAGACTGGAGGTTCAAACCCACCAACAGCTCCTTGGATAACCCTACACAGGGTCACTGTGACTTGGAATGGACTGGATGGCACTTAACAACAACAAGTACATGTACCGAACCCTAGTTGGTGCTATAGGATAAGCACTGGACTGGTAGCTGCAAAGTTGGCAGTTCAAACTCACCAACCACTCTTGGGAACCTGTATAGGGTTGCTATGAGTCGCAACCAATTCAACGGCACACAACAAGAAGTACGCATACAGTTTAGAGACATTGAAGACTTTCTTTCAGTTGTGTATCCATTCTCACCCTCCTTTTCTGAGTTGCTTCTCATTAACTTAAACTCATTGCCCCCTAAGATTCCTATCTAGTCATTATGTTGCTTTTATCAGTTTGATCCCATGTGGTGGTGGTGGTGGTTACATGTCGTGGAGTCCATTTTGACTCATAGTGACCCTGTATAGGGTTTCTGAGGCTATAAATCTTTATGGGAGCAGAAAGCCTCATCTTTCTCCCACGGAACAGCTGGTAGTTTTGAACTGCTGATCTTGAGATTCACAGCTCAATTTGTAACCACTACGCTCCCAGAGCTCCTTTTGATCCCATATGTTGTTGTTAAGTGCCATTGAGTCGATTCCGACCCATAACGACCCTGTACAGGGTTTCCGAGACTGTAAATCTTTACGGGAGCAGAAAGCCTCATCTTTCTCCCACAGAGCAGCTGGTAGTTTTGAAC